CACCCCCCCCCGATATCCTCCAACGGTGACGTCAACTGACCGATGAGGAGAGAGGACACACGCGTGCCGTGCCAGCCTGCTGTCGATACTCCTTGGTCAGCAAGGTTTTCTGTTTCATCGACATCTTGGGCACCTGTTCTAAGCAGGTATAACCACCTATTACAACCGCTAAAACTCCAGACGTAACAAAGCTGCGGACCCTCGCCCGACAGCACAGGGTTAAAGTTTCTGCCGGGTCTGTGTCCGCTCTTTCAGGTGTGCTGATCGCGCTGTCGCTCGTGCCATTATATCATCTACTCAAGACGTCGCATTTACCACGGTTAAACAGTTAAAATATTTCTTTTTGTGAATTGAGATGTTTGTTCGTTTTTAGCCGTGAAATTGTTGAAGTCTTGGCTGCTGTTGCGTCTGGAGGAAATGTTGCTTTCTAATTCGTATTCAACATGAGATTTTTTAATGTTGTTGCACGTTGTGCCTTTAGCGTCCTAAAAGCACAGTCAAAACTGACCGCCATGAGTAGTGTTTGCTGGGGGGTGTGGGGCTACCATGTGTTGCTAGAGGGGGGCGCAGGACCCCTAACAGGGAACCCCTGCTGTAGTGGGTGAGATCTTTCCGAGCTTTGTGTTCCTGCGCTGTCCTTTCCTAGGATTCCTGCTTCCGAGGAGATCCCACTTTGTCCCGCTAAACAGCGCGATGGCACCTCTCCAGTCGCTGTTGCGTTGTATCTTTCGGAAATAAAAGCCCCCCTGCTAATTACCGAGCCCCTCCAGGGGAGACGATGGCATGGCTTTGCTGCAGCTGGCCCTGTGTTGTGGTTTGTCAGTTAAAGCTTCTGTACTGTGCCGGCTCGCCCCTGGGACCCTGTCTAACCCCCCACTCTGCTCAGCCGGGCTGTGTCGGCACACTTGCACTGTGGAAAAATTCAGAAATCGTTATTTTTTGTTTTGTGTTGTTGGCACCGTTTGCCCAGCGCCGCAGTGGAGTAGCTGTAGCTGTCGTGACCTGATCAGGCATGGCTTTCGCCTCATGTCTCCATGCCCGGGGCACATGGCAGGGGGGGGCGACCTGGCGAGGATGAGAGGGTCCGCAGCTCGGTGTCGTGTCGGAGCGTTTCTCAGCCGGAGCCTATCCCAGCAAGCAGTGGGTGCAAGGCAGGGTACTCCCTGCCCAGGATAGCCAATCCGTCCCAGGGCAGACAGGCACAGACATAAACACGCTCACACTAGGGCTAGTTTTCCCAGAAGCCCGTTACCCTACCAGCATGTCTTTGGATCATGGGAAGGGACTGGAGCACCCAGAGGAAACTCACCCAGCCATGGGGAGAACATGCCAGCTCCACACAGATTGCCTGCAGGAACTGAATGCAGCGCCCCAGTGCCGTGTGGCTGCAACTGTGCCACTGTGCCGCTGGGAGTAGTTCTTCGATGTCAGAAAAGGACCTGTTCTCTGACAGATGGAGCAGCTTTGTGTTTAGAAGCTTAAGACTGCTGTGTGCAAGCCAGGACCAAGGGCTTGGTATGTCACGTTTGCGGCCTTATTTTAATGACATTTGCATTGATAGATGTGGAGTAGACATCACAGTGAGAAAATACTGATCCCTGTTTACTTTGCTCAGCAGTTTGTCCAGGAGCCTTGGGGTGTCACTTGACTACAGAGAAAATGCGTTGAAATTCCTGTGTTTGTAGAAAACACCTAAAACAAGCGTCCGGTAGAAGATGTAGGTTTGCGCGGCTCTGGATTACTGCAGAAAATCCTTAAAACGTTTTATGAGAAGATTAATATCTGGGGTTAAAAATGCCCAGTTTGAGTGAAAGAGGCCACAGTGTTGTGCTCTAGGTGTGGTGTGTCAGGGAGAGGTACAGACACGTCCTGCTCTTCTGCTGCTGCACGGACTGTGCCAGGCCGGCTGGGTGAGATCCAAGTCCTGTTGAGTCACGAGCCCGCTCTGCTCTGCTCTGCTCTGCTTTGCTCTGCTGCCCCGAGGGGAAGTTCAAGTGGCCGGTGGTGTAAAGGAGCGATCTGGAGAAAGTGTCCCGCTGTCCGGTGAGCACGAGAGCACGAGGCCGACCTGCACAGAGACAGGATTCCAGGCAGAGCACTTTCAGGTCACTTTCACCTTCGCGTTAAGGCTTCAGGAGCATTGCAGGACCCACCCGAACGTGTATTTGTTTTTTTTAACAACCTGACAGAGATCGAATCGCCAATTGTTCTTTCACGTCTTGGCGTGAGGGCCACAATCCCCGCCGCCCTCGTGCGGGAGAGAACGCGGGTGTGTAGGTGAGGCTCCCCCAGCCTTTCTTTGACAGGTCGCGGGCTGAGATTCAGTGCCGATCGGGATCGGGAGCCACATGGGGATCCTGCGGGGGGCGCTGTGTTTCGCAGCGAGCTGAGCAAGCCCCCAGCCTGCTCACCCTGGCCCCGTCGGCTGTCGGCCAGGTTCACCTGGGGGATCCTGATCGCTGCCGGCTAGTGAGGTGACCACAAGGCCAGGCCCGGTCCGTTGACCATGGAGCTCAGCTGGAGGGCTCGCGGCTGATCACATTGAGCTCCGTCAGCCCGTTCAGCTTCATAGTTCTGAAGGTATTCAAAGCGCAAGGTGTCTGATGCCGCCATCACTCCCTGCTGGTAGGGTGGGACACTGCAGTATTTCCAGGAGCTTTTCCCCGTGCTTGGGTCAGCGCAGTGGCTGGGATATCAGTGATCAGTAAAGTAGGGGGGAGATATGTCCCTGACTCGAGATGGGGCGCTCGCTCATTCCCACAGCACTGCCATCAGGCCCCATCTTGATCTAGGCTCAGACTCGTGTCAGGCTGGGCCGAAGGGCTTCCGCTGATAACATCGGCAGCACTGGTGTGGCTCCGTCCCACTCTCGTCGTATTTCAGCTTAAAGATGTTGTTTTTTTTTTTGTCTACATCTGCCGTTTTCAGTAGCACCAGGCAGGTCTTGCACTTGATCGAGGAGGGAGATAACGCTGGAGTCTTGAAGTCTGAGAACATGACGCACACTCACACACTCGCAGCCTGGCAGTGGGTGACTGGAAGGAGTGCTTCAGACTTCAGTCACTCGACAGCGCCCACAGGCTTCTCTTTAAGCTTTTTTCTCTTTTTAGCTGGCCTGGCAGTTTTCTTGAGAATGCCACCCACCTTCTTGGAACTGCTTCTGAAATTCCGCATGATTCTTCTTTTGCTGAAGGTACCAGACTCTGATCATTTCGGAGAAAAGCCTTTTCATCTGTGAAAGTGCTTGCTGAGAGGCGCAGTTCCCTCATCCTTGTCATTTGCCCTGCGTGCCCCAGATAATCTTCACTGTTCACTGTTTTATCTGTCTTTACTTGAAAATGCAGAAGTAGGGCTTCAGCACCTCTGTAGTGACCAGTATGCTGTTAAAAAGTTCAGTTCCTGGAAGAACCCCATGATCAGGTGTGTGGCAGCGTTTCGATGCTGATGGCGAGTTTCTCAGTTTTCCAAGGAAAATGCTGGATTGCTTGACCCAGTAAGCCCCTGGCAGCTGAATTCACGCAGTGTCCCAAAAGGGTCAGGACACAATAATGGTTGTCTTCTGTCACGATTTACTTTAATGGCTGTGACGTCCTTGTGACGGACTGGCTTCCTGTCCAGGGTGTATCCCACCTTGCGCCCTTTGCTTGCCGGGATAGGCTCTGGCTCCCCAGAATTAGGTGAAGTGGGTATAAAATAGATGCATAAATAGTTGTGGTGTCCTTGCTGTGATTTGCTGACCTATACTGACGAGAGCCAGTTGCTCATTTGGTGCCTATAGTAATTCCACACACAATTTTCAAAGTAACACATTTTGTGGCTGACCAGCCTGAAAGCAAGACTTAATCAGAATTTAGTTCACCTTTATTTTCCCATTGTGACATGCAACCTGAAAAACAAACACTCGAACCTTCTGAACACCAATTAGAAATAAAAACCTAGACCAATGGGTTGGGTATTGCAAACCCCAATATCAAACAACTTAGTAAAAAGGTAGTAACTCATATCTCGCTGCAGATGAGTCTGGAGATTTTCTACAAGAAAATGCAGAAAACTCTCAATTTAAAATACCAACGTCTTATAAAAATCGGTACTTATTACTGATTATTGATTAGGTGCTGGCTAATGTACAGTTCTTTCAAAAGCAAGGCTCTGCCCCTAAGGAAGCTGCTGTCAGCACAAGGAAATCACCTAAATGGATTTCTGATCAGCGATACCAAGTGCGTGGTATGTTTCTCTTTTTGAGAAATATATGTTGGAAGTGTTTTTTGGTTTAATTTTGTTTTTGGGGAGTGTTAGGTTTAGGATGATCCCCCTTTGGTCTTTCCAGTCGCTGGCACTGCTGTAAGCCTGTCGCCCAGTGCTTTGCATAGTCACATCCATGTGCCTTCTGCAGATTGCAGCTGGTTTACTAAGCTGAACTGGCAGGCCGGTACTGATGTAGGAGTGGGCTTGAGCCACAGAAGAGTGAATATAATCCAGCCACTTGTGAGCCACAGGGAAGCCTGTAGACGTTTGTAGCTTTGAAGTCAGAGATGACGGCCAATGTCTCGAGTTTGTCTTTGAGCATGATGACACAATCTGAAGTTTGTGGTTTGGCTTGTATGCAAGTCAGAGATGCATTTAGAGTGGCGAATAAAATGTGCACTTTATTTTCAAATAAAATGGGCTTGCACTGTCCCTGCGATGGACTGGCGTCCTGTCCAGGGTGTACCCTGCCTTGCGCTCGTTGCTTGCCGGGCAGGCTCCGACCTCCAGCGCCACCGTGTGGTGTGAAGCGATGTGGTAAATGACACGACGGGTTCAAATAAAGAAACAGCAAACAGGGCTTTTAAAAGCTTTGGTATTGGACAGTGTTGTACACCAATTCATCCTACGATTTTTACAGCTGTAAATATCTTATGTCCCGATATTTTAGGTGAAACAGGTCACGTGTCCGTGCTCATTCACTGTACCTGTTGCTGCTTGCATTTCTTCCCCTCTCTTCGTCTCTGATGTTGTGGTGTGTGCGGAAGACATCCTTTTCGGTTTTAATCCTGAACTGTTTTAACTTTCTATATGTAAATCGCCATCTTAACTTTAACTCCAAACTACTGAACTCGCTCAGTGGGCCGACTGCGTCTCTCGCTTGTGAAACGTACCTGTTGTCTGATTCCCCTCTACGGTGGCCGTTGTGACTGAACCTGGGCCAGAAGGTCACCTTTCGCCTGGTTCATGAGCCCTGGAAGGCGAAAATGACCCTCTGCTTTAGACAGAGTGGAGCCAGGGTCTGGTGGATGGACTCCTCTTGGCTTTGGGCGCAGGTCGATGAGGGACGGGCCGCCCCTCCGGTCAGCGAGCCTACACTGCGTTAAGCAGGGGCTCAGCTCAGACGGGAGACCATCTGCAGGCCCCCGAGCCGGCCCAGTCTGCGCCGGGCGGCAGAGTCTTTAATCCATCCCAAATCGGAGGGGTCGAAACAAAGAAATTCTTCTTTTTAGATCGCAGGGCACTTCCCTGCAAACCCTAGAGGTGATGCGTCATCGCCCAAGCCGTGCCAAGCAGGCGCGGTCGCCGGGCCTGTGGTGTCACGTCCGAGACCTCACGGCCGCTCTCTCGTCCCCCAGTGCACAGTACAGGTGAAGCTGGAGCTGGGGCACCGGGCGCAGCTGAGGAAGAAACCTACGCCGGAGGGCTTCACTCACGACTGGATGGTGTTTGTTCGCGGCCCCGAGATGTGTGACATCCAGCACTTCGTGGAGAAGGTGGTCTTCAGGCTTCACGAGAGCTTCCCCAAGCCCAAGAGAGGTGAGTCCCGCCCTGGCAGGAAGTGAGGTCGCGCTCCTCCGATGCCAGCAGTGCTTTCACTTCCTGTCCCGTGCCTGACCTCAGCTTTCCCTCCCGGCGTTCCCGAGTTTAAAGAGTTAACACTAGTCAAATCAGAAAAGTTAGAGTACAACATGAACGTTTCTTTGAAAGAAATAGGTCATTATGGAAGCTGTGATAGACTTCAGAGTCTGTGTGGAGTTTGTAGGGTTTTTTGTGTGGGTCTCGTCATGGTGCTGCAGTTTCCTTCCAAAGTCCAAAGACATGCTGGTAGGTCAATTGGCATCTGAGAAACCTGTCTGAGCTGGCTGCTTGCCCCCTGGCCGCGCAGGCGTGTGGTTGAGGGTCAGGCCTCACTGCTGACAGGCCTGTCTCTCTGCTTGCAGTGTGCAAGGAGCCCCCGTACAAAGTGGAGGAGTCCGGCTACGCAGGCTTCCTCATGCCCATCGAGGTCTACTTCAGGAACAAGGTAAGCAGAGCGATGCTGTTATCAGGAGCTTCATCGGTTAGGAGTAAGGTGTTGCTGAATGCATGATGTTGCATTGAGAGGCGCAGGTTCGAGGATGGTCCCTGTTTCAGGAATGTGTGACGGAATGCTAACGTAGTGGTTCTCAGTCCTGCTCCTGCGGGAGCACTGTGTCTGCTGGTTCTCATTCCTACTGAGCTAGAAATCTGCACTGCTGATCGATGGCTTCAGTGATCTGCTTGTGAGCATTTGACTTCGTACGTTGGTCAGTCCTGAATACATGGCCTCAGGGGTACCGTTCCCAACCACGTCCCCATACAGAGCAATGCACAGCTTCTCCTGGTTTTTTCTTTTCTTTTATTGAAATGGAAGCCGTGGCATGCCCCGCTGTCGGTGGATCGGGGAAGTGGAGAGAAGCCTGCCTTCTCCCACCCCAGCCCCCAGCAGCACTGTCTGGGAGTCCGGGTCGCAGTGGGCTAGTGATGTGACAGAGACTTGTGATGCGGAGGTGGGGCCTTCATCAGCCGGGTTCCCTTAATGCACTGCAGCCGCATCAGCTCAGCGTGAGGTAGTAGGAAGAGCACACTGTTGCGCTGGGCAAGGCTGGTGTGTGTCATGAGGTTACTTTGGGCCTCCCAGTAGAAGCTCAGCCTGCTGGTCCGAGGGCGCGCTGAGCTCTGTGATCACGGGTTCGAGACTCGGCCGTGTCCCTAGCTGACTGGGACTGTGCGCCACCACCTGGGGAATTGCAGCCGCCTGACTGACGGACGGGTGTGGAGTGGCCAGGGAAGCTCTGTTCTCAGCAACACGGCAGCTTCTGCGGCTTGCTGGGCGCCTGCAGGCGTGGAGCGGTCTCGGTGAAGGACACCTGTCTCCTGCCATCAGCACCGAGCCCCGCTCACAGGGCGGATGTGCCGGTGACATTGGCTCGAAGGTGGGCGGGTCGGAGGAGTTCCTCGTTCTCCCGTGTGCGGTGGCAAGGTTTGTAGTTGAGATCCAAAATGTGACAAACACACGATTGGCCGTTCCAAATCTGTGGATTCAGCAAAAAAAAAACCTGGCAAACAATTGTATCTTTTAAATTCATTTCAGATGTTGAAATGTGTATCAGCTCTTCACCAGTTTTTCCAGTGTGTAGTTGCTTTAGCCTTAGGAGTGTAATATTTCAGCCATGACAAAAACATGGACAAAAAGGTTGCGTTAATGAATAATCCATTCCTTGATCCAGCTGGGAATTGGATCAGGCAGACAAATGGGTTTGTGAATTTTAATTTCTAATGAAAGAAAAGCTCTACTTGTGATTTTACTTAAAAGGTCAGAATGTCTTGAATAAAACTAAAATCAAGAAAATGAGATCTTAGTCCCAATTTGGTTAGGAGATGGTTAAGGGAATATCTTTAATAAATAACACTGTTGTTGCATTGGAGCAGTATAAGTTTTGGCAAGTACATTGCTGCTTTTTAAGTGGTTGGAATTTTTTTTCATGCCTGGCAATCTGTGTGGCCGATTCTAACTGGTAGGCTTTGGGATATGGAGCAGTTTGTGCCGGTTTTGTAAAAAGAGCGTTTTGGATTGTACAAGCTCATGTGCGATGAAGGGATGAACTGCACCCCCAAGGAACGTTTTGGAAGAATCGCAGGGTGATTCAACACTGTGGTAGCTTTACGAGACCCATTGGAAAAGCTCTGAGTAAATAAGGTCAAGAGTGATGGCAGGGGTCATTACTTAAATTGCAAATGCTGCTTAAAGAGATAGCCATGGATTTGGCTGGCTGCGACTCTCAGTATGAGACTTCTTAAATAAGTATCAGAGCTGCCAGTGACCTAGATGGCACTTTTGTCATTCTTAAGGCTTAGAGGTTATCACTGCCATGCCAGGAAACTGCAGAGGCATTGCCATTGTCTTCTGGTTCACTCTAGTTTCCCCCAATACTATCATTAAAAGCTCTTCAAAGACCAGGGGTGTGCTCCCACACGTCTCCCAAGTCTGTTCAGCTGAAGAAAAGCAGATGTTGTTTTAAAAAGTGCTGGTGTCTTCTTAAGAGCGCTTGCTGCTTCGCTTCTCCGATAGGGTGTTCCTGGTGTTGGAGGATTAAATTGAGGCTCAATTTCAAAATTCAAATCCTTGTTTCTAATCCTGACAATGGATATTTTGTTTTTGGCAAAGTCCCACTGGTAAAGTCTCCTCCAGCCCCTGTGGGGGGGGGGGGGGGGACTGTTTTCTAGTCTTGCTGTTCAGATAGATTCTCCTCTAACCTGGAGACAATAACCAAGCTGTCAGGTCTTCCAGGTAGTCAGTGAAAGCGTGCTGGCCAGCAGCAGGAAGCTCTTGCCCGCTCAGTTCCTGTCGGTGCTCTGGGGAGGCTTAGCGTAGCGTCTCTCTGTGAGAGAGTGTAAAAATGAGAAAGCACTACTGGACTGCACCATGCAACTCTGTGAAGGTTTAATCACACCCATTTGCAGCATGGTGTGTCCCAAAGGTTAGGATTGATGACAAGCTGCACTTCAAGAGAATAAAAAAAACATATAAATTTTTCCCCCAAAAAAAGTTTTTTATTTATATAAATACATTTATCTGATCTATAGCTATATTTGGGAGCTTTTAGATCAGCACCTGTGGTCAAAAGACAAAGGAACAAACCACAAAAATAGCTTCACATGCAAAACACAGTCCAACAAACAGCTTATTTAACCATCACTCCTAGCTTAATGCTGCTATATATGGTCTTCTATATGAAACCAATTCCATGCACTCGCCTGTGCTAAAATTAGATGACAAATTCCCTCGAGAATTAACGGATTTTACACAAAAACAGCATTGCATTTCCCCTAAAATAGATGTGGTACCACACAACAACAGTAAAACAGCACGGCCAGACGCCCAACGTGTACATCCTTGCTTTTACAACAGAAAAACTTTTTTGATTTCTAAACAAGCCTGCTCTAATTTAATTGAAACCCTGCATGAGAGCTGCCAAAAAAAACCTCTCTGTGCCCACGTGGGGCAGCGATTAAAACGTTTTTTTTTTCTGTGCAGGGTAAAATGAAAAGTGTTTTAAAAGATGATGTGAGAAATACAGCCACTACAGTACATCAGAGTTCACAGCTGGAGTGCTAAGCAGAAGTGGGGAGATGCAGTCCTGCAGCATCGGTGCTGTGCTTTTATTTTATTTTAAAATGTAGACAGCAAAGCAGCGAGCATGTAACCCTCCCCATCAGAAGTCGCCAGATATTGACCATCTCGCCTCGCCGCTGTGATCACTGTGCCAATGCATGGGCATCATGCACCTGCTCGTGCCCTTCTCTGACACGCCCACTGTCCCAGCCACACGCTGTGCCTGGTTCCACAAGCTCCCCGGTGCCGTGGAGTGTGCAGCGGTTGGACGCTGCAGGCCCTCAGCTGGCCAGCCGGTCCCAGGACAGCACGGGCGGTATCGGAATGAGCTCCGACCGTCTGGAGACCACACAACAGTGGCCATGTCTGCCAGTCGAGCCCAGCTACTCCGAGAGTTCTCATCACGGCCTGCCACCGACTGTCGAATCTTAGGGCTCGGCTAGCACCTGGGATCTTTCCGTCACACAGTCCTGTCCTCCCCCTGCCCCGCCACACCTTGCTGCACGCCACCTGCTCTGGGCGGTCCTGTCCGTTAACAGGCTGCCCAAAAAAATCCAAGCAGATTGTCTAATGCTTCATCTCATTGCTCCTTGTGTTTGAGCAGTTTTTTTTTTTAACTAGAATGAGGTCGTTTAGTTTTGTAATCGCAGGACTTGATTTATAGCGGATACCCCTCTTGTTAGGTGTCGCATGTGTGACTGCTTTTTGAAGACAAAGGTGTTGTTTGACCAGGGCTGTCTGACAGCAGTCAAGGGCGTTTGGCGGCAGGAAGCCCAGGAGGGTGTTGCACTGCAGGCGTAAGCAGTCGATGCAGTTTCTTGGCACCATTATCTCAAGGTTATTTTCTAACACTTTCCACAGAAAAGAGCCCCCCCCCCCAGTGCGACACAGAGCTCTGTGCAAGAGCACGTGTGATTGCAGGGGGCCCCGTCTCCTGCTCCCGGCCTGCTGGCGTTCTCGAGACGCGGCCTCTGTAGTTGTGGCGGCAGTTGGAGGTGCTCGGCCGCCACAACTTCCTTTCGGAACAGTTCTGCTGCTGCTGTCACTGTCAGCCTGAAGGCAAGGCGTCTCTGCCTCGCGGCTCCTCTTCACAGCTCTCCGCGCAGGCCTGACCTCCTCCCCTGCTCCACTGACCTCACCTCGAAGGACCCCGATCGGCAACCGTGCGTCTGATCTCGTAGATAACACCTGGGATTGGACCGGCTGGTGTCATGACTACTTCCTGCTTCTAATTCCCCTCATTTAGAACTTCCTGCAGTTGCAAAGGGCGTCTGAGGCCTGGCAGGTAGTGTGACTTCCTCCGTGCCAGGTCCAGTCTGATGCGCAGGCGTTCTGGCGCTGGGTTGTCTTCCTTGCAGAGCTGCCCTTCGATTTGAGCAGGACCTGCTCAGCAGTGGTCATTTCTAATCCCAGCAGGTACAGAGCGGGCATGTCAAGCTTTGTTAATTGCTCCGCTCCTTGCGGATAGAGGAGATAACGAACGGAATCGAAGAGCCTTGTGTGCTTGTAATCTCTGAACAGCAGCCTTCAGTCCAATGTATTTGTCTCCAGGGCGTCTGCAGGGTTAGGCTGAAGCTAACAAAATGTGCCAAAAGGTATTTCAGTAGATCACTTCAGTTATGACTTGCTTCTGAAACTGGTCTTCCAGCCATCTGCTGCTTGCAGATGAAAGTTTGACTTTGAAAGTGCAGTTCCTTTCAGGTTTGCTCCGACATATCTGGACCAGTTTGGCAAATTGTTTGAAAAAATGGTGAGGTGGCAATAAGTGGCAGTCCTCTACGGAAGTTCAAAATAAACTTTTTAAGCAAAATTTCTGTAGGTATTATTTTGCCTCAGTTTTTAAAATGGCTTTGCAGAAGCACAGTGGCCTTGAGTTGATACAGTTCAAGAACACTCTCCTGTTTTAGTGAGCTTTCAGAGTTTTTCCACTTCCTGTAGTGTGGAGGAGTGGTTAGGGCTTGTGGTCTTCAGCCCAGAAGGTTGTGGGTTCGAATCCCAGGGGGTGCAGTTCTTGAGCAAGTTGACTTTACCCAGGCCGCTCCAGTAAAATGCCCGGTGCGCTGCAAGGTCGATCCCCAGAACGAATCCCGTTCAGTCTTCTAAGGGAATGGATGTGGTGATGGGATGGACAGGTCCGGCCAGGGAAGAGGATTGCTTTCTCCGGCTTCCCAAGCCGATCGCTCATGACCTGGCGCTGAGACAGTCCCGTCGTCGGACAGGAGGGGATCCTAATATCGTGTGCGCGTGCCATCACCAGGAAGTGAGCACGATGCATTTTGCTCAGCTCTGCATTTCTGAGCACTCCCCCCCCCCCCCGTCCTTTGTGCCCACTGTCGTCCAAGCGTGGGTAAATGGGGGGTCCTAGCAGGGTGGGGCGCATCTCTCGCTTTTGTTTGTTTGGGGTGAATCATTAGCCGGGGCGTTGACAGCTGGGCCGGTCTCACCACAGGGGTCACGGGGAGGTGAGGAGACAGCAGGCGGCTTGTTTCTCACCCCTCCCAGCAGGGAGGGCTGGTCGGGGGGGGCTGCTAGTCCGAAACCGGATCAAACGGGGACTCGGAGTCCCGGCCAGGGCTTTTTCAGAGGAGCTTGTGTGACGGCGTTCCTCTGGGACAGAAATACGGACGAGCAGCCTGTCCTGTGTGAGGCTCCGATAGAAGGAGATAAAAATGAAAGCCAGGTCAGCGCTTGCATGAAGAGGAGTAGTTTCGTAAGGTGCAGAAACGTCCCACTTAAGAAAGCAAACGTGAAGAAGAAGAAAGAAAAAGCAGTCCTACATCAAGAGGTTCGAGCGACACGCCCAGACACGGGTCCCGGAGTGCTGAGGATGGAAAACTCTGCACGGAAGCGACAGCCTAGTTAAACTGCTTGTAGCTCTGTGTCATGGAATTTGTTTCCAAACCATCTGATACCCTGAAAAACCTTTGTTCCTGTGGTGTTTTAAGGCCAAGGTGAAATACACTTAAATGATACAGCTGTGTTTATGAGTTTAGGGGCTCCCCACTCTCATCCTGGGGGACCCCCAACATCTGCTGGCTTTTATTCCAGCTTTATTCCAAACTAATAATTGCATTAATGTGAACTCTTGGTAATCCTTTTTAGTTACTAAACATGCTTGCCTCTTGGCTATTATGTTTCGGAGTAACTTATCCTGATCTCCAGCTATTAAGAATATTAGCAAACTGGCAAAAAAATTGCATCAGGGAACTTGTTAGTTTGTTTAAGGAAATGGCTGAGCTGCAATGAAGAGCACCAGGGCTGGGAATCCTGAGGACAGGGGTTGGGTACAGGGTAACAGGTATTCGGTGTAGTTACTGAGGGACTGGGCCATAACATGACATTGCTGTAGATTGGCGGGCTGTAATTAAGTGCAGAAATACGTGTGTTTGGTCTAGTAACTCATCACAGGAGATGGTGGCAGTCTGCGGTCTGGGGCCACACGCTGGCTCCATGCCCTCGTGATCAGAATCAAGGGATGAGGGGATGGTCAGTCCTGGTCATGGAGGGTCAGTGTATCTGCACGTCCATTCAGCTTGGCCCATGACCTGCGTCAGCTCATTATTGTCTCAAAGGAACCGATTCAGCGGTTTCTCCCAGCTCTTCAGATGTGTTGGTGCTTTGAAGAAGTGTGGAAAGCCTGCAGATGCACTGTCCCCACAGCACCAGGAATGCCCACCCCTGGTTTCAGCAGTGTGACGTCTGCTGGCCCGTCATGTGCTTTTGTCCGTGAACTCGGAGCCACCCCCTACCCTAAGCCCTTTCCTAAAAGGAAAAAAAAAACAACATTTCTTGGAATTGCACCTGCTGTGCTCTCTGAAGGGTGTCTGGCGGGGGGGGAGGGGTCGGGAATGTGAGTCTGTGTGTGGAAGGGGTGTGGCTCAGAGCGCTAATCAGTTTCCAGCGTTGATTAGAAGCTGCTCATGTGGGCTGGCTCAAGCACTGGCCCAGCTCCGTCCCCACGGTTCAGCCAGCCATGCTGGAGAAGGAGCAGTCGCCGGGGCTTGTGGGGAGAGCAGGGCGGTTGGTGAGTATAGCCCTGCTGCAGCCGGGCGGACTGGGAAAGTGAAGTGGGAGAAGTGGGAATCCCGCTTTGCTGGGAGGCTCTGTCCGCGTCGATCCCGATGTCAGAGTGACGGGTGGCTCTGACAGGTCCTCATCCTGCTCGGTGGTTCCAAATGAAGCAGCAGAGGCGTCCAGTCTCCTCTGCCTTGTCGTGGGTGCTTGTCCTGCACTCGCGCAGAAGACTAGCCTAGGTGCTTCCGGCACGATCGGGTGGTCTGGTGGCGTGATGGTAGCATCACTCCGAGGTCCTGGCTTCGACTCTGAGGGTCTCATCCAGCCGTCTCCTGGAAAAAGCCGGGGTGTCGGCGTCAGTGGTGTAGTAGGACGGCTTGTGCCACACTCCCGCCACCCTCTGTGTAAAGAAGTGTATCAAGTAAGCGGCTGGAAGTGTTGAGCGCGTGTCTCTTCTCCTCCCTCCCTCTCTGCAGGAAGAGCCGAAGAAGGTGTTCTTCAACTACGACCTGTTCCTCAACCTGGAGGGCAACCCCCCCGTTAACCACCTGCGCTGTGAGAAGCTCACCTTCAACAACCCCACCAAGGAGTTCCGCCGCAAGCTGCTCAGAGCTGGTGGGGTGAGTCAGCTGGGGGGCTGGGGTGGCACGCCGAGCCCTCCTGGTGTCTCCTGGGCTGCGCTGATTCGTTGCCAGCCGGCGTGTTGGTCGCTTCTGTCGCTGAAGAACTACACGCCTCTCTGACGGCCTGGTGGGACTGGAAGGTCCTGCCGGTGGAAGGCGTCTGAGCTCGGGATCGGGGCGTCTGTCCACTGCTGGACTGCCGAGCCCGGTGAAGCTGCAGCTTCACCACATACAGTATAGTGTTTTTGTGTTGAGCTCTCGATCCACTGTTTGTCACTGAATCGTTAATCTATGAGTGTATCTCAGTGTTCAACCCTGCCTGTATCGAACACAAACAGTAGATGCACGCCTTGGCTAAAACAATCATTCCTTAACCTAAAGAACAGCAGAACGGTCAGGATGGGCGCAGACAGACCTCCAAGGCCCCCCCGCCTGCAGAGACTGCTGTACAACGGTGCAAACTTTTTGTTTTTGTGTTCCATCAAAGTAGGCATCCCTGCATTTTTCAAGCACCCGTTACTTCACAAAATAAAATTCAGGCGCTGAAGGGTTACTGTGACTTGTAGTGGGGCTGCACACAGAAGCCAAGCCGTGTGGAGATGAAAGAGTGGGTTTCAGTGCTTCCCCAGGCCGTTATTTTCTTAGCTGTGCTGTGACCTTGTCAGGGCAGGGATCTTGCCGACAGTGTGGCGCAGTGCTCAGGGCCGGGGGCTCTACACCAGGGGGTCACAGGTTCAAAACCCAGGTGTGCCACTGCTGTAGCACTCTAGAGCACCGTGCTTAATTACTCCTCACTGCCTTGCCAGGTACAATAATCAGTAACGGCACGCTTACTTCATTTCGCCCGCGCCCCCTCAGAGCTAACCTGTGTTAAGCTTTGCTTGAGTCCGATGGTCAGTCGAAGAAAGTCAATCTGAAACCTCAGGACCGCCACTTCCCTGCATTTCTGTTTGTGGGCATATCTTTCTCTGCCCCCATGGGGATCTGCTCATTGACAGATGTAAAGGAACATGTCATAAAAAGTTATTGGCGAGTGCTTGAATTCAGAATAGTGTGTTGAAAAAATGCCCCAGAATGAAATTTTTTTCAAAGTATTACAGGTTCTTCTCAGTGTAAGTTTTTACTGGTCACAGCATATTCCACAGTTATGTATGTTGCTGTGTGCCGGAATTACAAATATAAATGTTCAGATGTGTATTTTGAGCCCATTCCAAAACCTCTATTACGTCTCTGTGCGTTTTGCTTTCCAGAACATATCTTAAATTTTCCTTGGAAACCCCCGTTTTCTTTAAGCTGCTCTCGCATCTGGTGGCTCCTGCGTCCTTGACCTGTGTAGTCTGTTTCTGTGATGGTGTGTACATTGTCTTTGCGGGCCGTCGGGTGTATTTTTATCTCTTCCTGTTGCAAGGCCGGTCGGTAGCGGGTCTGTGTGCGTGGTTGTGGGCTGATGGGCCGAGGCAGAGGATTGTGGGATTGTGCTCTCCTTGACGGGCCCTGCTGGTGGGTGGCGGTGTGGTGTTTGTCTCTCCATGTTGTTTTCGGGGTTTGGCAGGGCGTCTCTATCTCTGTGGGTGTGAGAGAGAGCCCCTGATGACTGGAGGAGATGAGCAAGCCGATAGTGGCGCGGGCTGAAATAAATCACCGAAAAATGTTGGGTGATGAGTCATGGTGGGGAGAGGGGTGGTTGCCTACAGTTTTGCAGATGGGAATTAAACTCTCAGTTTCCAAGTGTAGAACAAAAAACAAAAGTGATCGGTGTTGAACGTATGCACGTAACCCTGTTTTTTGAGCTGCTTCCATTAGGGTGTAGTCAAGGGAATGCAAACACATCATCTGTTTGATTGTTGCTGTGCTAACGGCCCTGTCTTCCTCTCGCCCTCTTCCTGGGTCGCAGGTCATGGTTGTGCCCGAGGGAGCAGAGACCATCTCCAGGCCCAGCCCCGACTACCCCATGCTACCCACAATCCCTCTCTCGGCCTTTTCTGATCCCAAGAAAACAAAGCCCTCCCACGGGTCCAAGGTCAGTGGAAGAGGGTGCCAATAATATTGTATATCGATATCCATAAATGTGTACCAGGCTCCATGGGGCTGCTGTCGTCGCAGTGGAAGATTTTAACGATGCTGCCCATTGATCAACAGGCTCAGGTCGGGTCTTGTGAATAGAGAGGCGTTTGGGACAGAAACGCATAGCACTTAGCTTAGGGGTTACTGACGTGTCCGTAATTATACGTCCTTTTGTGTTCAAAATGTTTGTGAATCACTGTCTATTTTGAGGGAGCAATAACCTTTTTTGGTTTAAACTGTAGGGGTGTCTCTTCAGACTCTTTAAAATGTCGTCCAGACATAGTGGATGCTGGTAATGTCTGCCTAGTGGATAAATCTTTGTCACCTCACCCCTGAGGCAGGTGGAAAAGAAAGGTGACGTACTGTGAAGAGGTCTATATAAAGGGAAGGTTGTTAGGAGAGGTCTAGGTGGGGGAATGTGCCCAGCAGCAGGCAGAGCTGGCTTGGCCTGCCCTGTATGTGCCAGGGCGTAGCTGCTTTCAGGACTCTGAGGCTGGAACTGGAGCACATCTGAGGCAGGACACCATGAGAGGAACAGTCTTCCTTCAGTCGGTGCCAGAACCCTGCTTTCTGTTTTGGATTCCCAGTGTGAAAAAGAGCAACCTGAGGGCAGATTCTAGTCTGTGCATTTTTGTGGTTCGAGCGCAGATCAGTAGTTTAATTGAATAGCATTTAAAAAAAACACCGAAACGAGGAAAAAGCAGCAGGCTTCCCAAGTTCTGTCTTGCTTCATGTAATTAAGACCAAAGTTAAAAACTGCTGCCAGTTTTTAGCTTGTCTTTTAGTTGTGGTACAGTTTGGCTATATGACAGCTGGAAGACCTCTTCAATGTCCATATGTGTGTATTGGCTTTCCTTTGGGGAGGCTGAGTGGTCTGTCAATCACCATGCCTGGATACACGTGAGAATCCACATTTATTAGGAAAAACATGTGTTGTGATTAGGTACTCTGTGCCACGTAAACAGGGTGATCTGAATGTTGCTGGCAGTGGACTGGATTGCTTTATTCCAATTAAAGACATAAATCGCGCCCCCTTGTGTTCAGGAAGTGAATATCAGCTCCTATAAACTCCTTATCCAGTGTCCCCTTTTACTGTGAGTGTAGGAGCACCCAAAGCCAGCAGTGAGAGGGGGTCATTGTGCTTAATTAGTTCCATGTCCTTACAGTCCCATAGCCAGTATTGGCTGAACTGTAACCTCCCATCCCAGCCTGCAAAAAAGGGACAGTTTAGAGCAGCCAATCAGGCCTAAACTGAGTGCTTTTGGAGGTGGAAGGAAACTAGAGCACCACCGCCGTAACTCATCTGGATATGGAGAAAAACATGCAAACTCCACACAGACAGCTCAAGGATTCTTAAGCTGTGAGACATTAGTGTTGAGTTCCTTGCAGCCCTGAAAGTTTCTCCCAAGGAACAAGGGCTTGTTCTTGAACCCCCTACCCTACAGGTCTAGTCTTGTACTGGATCCCTGGAGCTGGCTGGGGTCATGAAAGTCCAGGAAGGTCAATGCCCACGTGCGCTGATGCTCCAATTTCAGGAGCCACGCACAATGCCATGCTAGGGGTGGCTAGCCGAGCGCAGAGCGATGAAGCTGAGAAGGGCTTCCTAACTCGTCGCGAACGTGGTCCTGGTGCTCCTGCGCGCCGCTCCCTCTTGAGAGGGCTCCGCTCTTCCGGTCGCTGATCCCGCCTTCCTTCCCTTCGGCAGGAGCCCAGCAAGGAGGGCGCGGGCAGCAAGGGCCCGAAGGCCCACAAGGTGACGAAGGAGCACCGCGAGCGGCCCCGCAAGGACTCGGAGAGCAAGAGCTCCTCCAAGGGCGAGGCCGAGCGCGACGCCGCCAAGCCGCCCAAGGAGGCCGCGCCGTCCAAGAAGCCGGCGGAGGGCAAGGCCAAGGAGGAGGGCAAGGCGCCGCCCAAGGCCGCCTTCAAGGAGCCCAAGCTCACCCTGAAGGAGGCCAAGACAGAGGGCACGTCGCCCAAAGGAGGAGGGGGCGCCGGGGGGGGCGGCGGGGGAGGGGGAGGAGGGGGCGGGGGCCAGCCCGAGCCCAAGGCCCCCAGCAAGCGCCCCTCCGCCGTGGAGTCCCCCAAACCCAGCACCAAGAAGCAGAAGAAGGGGGCCACCGAGGGCCCCAAGGGCTCCGGGGGCTTCACGGGCACCTCGCCGCGGGTCTCCTCCTCCTCCGTCTCCGCCCCCGCCCCCGGGTACCCCGACAAGAAGCCCAAGGAGAAGGGGCGCTGGGGCAAGCCCAAGCCCGACGCCGCCGAGGTGAAGGAGGCCAAGAAGCCCGCCGAGTCAGAGGAGTCCAATTCTGAGGACGAGGCCTCGTCGAAGTCGGAGGTGAGCGCCGCTCGAGGGCGTGGAGCCAGACTCGGACCCGGGTCTGTGCTACTGAGAGATCCCGCCCCCTTGTGGTGGGGTTGCACTCAGTCTGCTGGTTTGCGGCGTGCGTTCTCTGAACGATCCAGATGACGCGGGTGATGCCCTGTGAGCCCTGGCCTGGCGCCGGGCCCTGGCGCTCCCTGAGAGATCAAGGTGTTCATTCTGTTTTCATGAACTCTTTTTCTGCAGTCGGTGGCATCCAGCCCTTCCAACTCCAGCTCCAGCTCCGAGTCGAGCTCCGAGTCGGACTTCGAGCCCTCGCAGAACCACAGCCAAGGTACGGCGCCTCCATCCACAGCCGCTCCCCACCGTTCCATCCCTGGGGGCTGAGCTCCTTCCGGGCTTCCCACCCGGAAATCTCGGCTCCGATAGAACTCGATCTGCTCACTCTGATTCTCTGATTCTCAGTTGCTTTGTTCTCCCGGAGCGTAATAGTCACTCCTGTCTCGGCCTGCTCCCCTCACTGACGGGTGGTGTGTGTTGCAAACATTCAATGGGAAAAATATGATAAAACCTGAGCACTGGGAGACCGAATCCTTGATTGATGTTTTGCTTCACGAAAAACACTACAAGGCTCAGAGATTTTGCTTATGGATACCGATTAAACACAAAACTAATTTTAATTTCAATTCCTCAAAATACTGCGGTCCAGGTAGTTAGAACTTTGTGGAACTGCACATCCAACGTGCTTGAGGCTGGGACCTTCAGGAGAGCGCACAGCGCACAGCACAGCTCGCCCGGCAGTTGAGCTGTGTGCAGGCGGGGGTCCTGTTCTTGGGTTTTGGGGGAGACTGGTGTTTGCAGTGTCCACACTTTGCTGTGTCCCCAGGACCCCTGCGCTCCATGGTGGCGGACCTGCAGTCGGAAGAGTCGGACGACGATGACAGCAGCTCTGAGGAAGACACCCCAGTTAAGACCAACCCCCCCAACCGCGACCCCAGGTCAGCAGGAATTTAAGAAGTGCTAAAAGCACGATCAGATTCAGCTAGTAGCTCATTTAGTTGCAGCTAGCTGATGTGGAGGTCTTATCCTGGCTTCAACAATGTGGCTGAGCAGATCATTCAGGACGCCCACCCCACTGTGTGGAAAGGCGTCTGATTCTCAAAACTGAATCGTTTCCTTTTGTTCTGCTGGTAATCCTGAGGAAATCGGTTTGATTTGTCAAGTACTTGTATAAAATTAAGTCCCATTATAACCCCCTCTGTTTGAGATTGAACAGATTATTTTGAACTGCTGATATTTTAATCCAAGATCATATAACACGTTATTTTTTTATGTAATATTTTCCTGAGTATATTTAATCAAGAACTGTAATTTAAGTATTATAGCATCGAATTGTTGTCCTGCATTTGCATTTTGTTGAAAAGAATGTTGTGTAAAATGTCTCCTTAATCACTGAGATACAAAAGCACTGCACACACGCACACAATGCAAGCTGCACACTGAGATCGGTTGTCAGTGTCACCTGTGAGCTCTGCTTGAGGGATCGATGAGAAGCTGATGGTGCAAAGCAAGCAGGTCACTTTATTTCAAATAGGGTTTGTGACAGGTAAATCGAAACGGCCAAGTTTGTTTAAAGGGACAGTAAAACGGGAAACAGCAGGTGTGATGCAGATCGCTGTCACAGACAGAGCTGTTAGGTAGCGGTCAGCCAATGAGAGCAGACTGAGTGACCTCTGACCTCTCCCTCCCCCCAGACTGAGCCTGGATAGCGAGAGTGACAGCAGTGACGAGTCCCACCCACCCAGCCGAGAGCCCCCGCCCCCTCCGCAGAAACACAGCACTTCCAACAACAAGGTGAGCGCCCCCTGCGGGCCACCGGGGGCAGAGGCACAGGGCAGGCACGGAACACCCCGTCCAGCTGCAAAACAAGTGGCCACTAAAACAGACCAATTGACCTGTTTCTGAACAGCTCTCTGTTTTTTTTTTGTGACCTGCACATCTCTCTCTGCCCACAGGTCTCTGGGAGAAAAAGTCCCGACACCTGCAGCCGACCGGAGAAGATTTTGAAAAAAGGATACGACAAGGTCCGTTCTCCTCCGTGTGCCTCTCTTATTCATTAATCGTTATTTATGATAATTCATTAGAGTGATTGATCATTTATTATAATTTAGTAAGCCTTTACTTGGTAAATTATAATTATTTACTAAGAAATGAATTAACGGACAGTTAATTAATTATAATGAGTAAGCCTTTACTCAGTAACCTAGGCAGAACAGACTGCCCTGTCCCGGCTCTTTCCACCCAAGGCCACCTCCAGCCAGCGCAGGGCCCAGGCTGGGAGCTAAAGATCTGTCAAGAGCGCTGCGGGTTGTTCGCTGTGCTGCCTATCTCCTCGGCCCCCCGGTGTGGCTGCAGGGGTCTCGGGCCTGAGCCTGGCTCTGCTCCTCTCTCCCCAGGCGTACACCGAGGAGCTGGTGGACCTGCACCGGAGGCTGATGGCGCTGCGAGAGAGGAACGTCCTGCAGCAGGTGAGCCGTCCGGAGAGACGGGAGGGCCGGGCCGAGGGGTCTGGCACTCCTGTCGCATAAGCAAGGCGTCTTTTTTCCCCCATCACGTGTTCTTTTTTGGAGCCGAACTTATAAAAGGCATCAACCGTGAAAAACAATAGCAGCGCCATGTACTCGTGGAGCTGAGGCAGATATAATACCTCTAACCGTAGACAGGGATCGGTATCCCCTTTCAAAGTGCGCCTGCAGGCCGGTCTGTCTGCGGCCTTCGTGTCGCCTGTTGGAAACGCGCAAGAGCTTCTACAGGTTTCCATGGCTGCTAATGATCTGCACGTCTCGAGACAGAAACACAGTCGCACAAACAAGGTCTGCCTTCTTTCCAGTTTCCCTGCCTTGTCTACAGGAGACTTGAGGCCGTTTGTGTGTCCTAAAAGCTGTCTCCCAGTGTATTTACGTCTTTCCCCTCGATGAAGGCTCAAGCGTTCTGTCGATTAGACAGCGGAACCAGTCTGCGTTTTTTCTTTCTCTTGCCTGTTACGTGCAAATCATTGTAATAGGTGTGTAAGCCCGAGAAACAGATTTTGCGCGTTTACTACAGAAATTACGAGGCCCGTGCAGGAGCCAGCAGACAGCTCGTGCCTCAGATTTCCGCCGCACATGTGCGCTTTGAAGGCGGATACCGATTTGCCACGGGATACCCAGTTCTACTGCACCCCCCTCTCTGGAGGGTGTGATCGGGTGTAACACCGGTGTAACCACGGTGTAACACCGCCCTCTTGTGGTTGCGGGTGGTACCGCACGCCGAGTTTACCCTTGGTAATAATAGGAGCAGCAGTCCGCTTTACGCCTGGCGGTTGTGATTCCCCGGAGCTCTGTGCTCTAACATGGTTATAAATGTGTCCCCCCCCCCGGCAGATTGTCAACCTCATCGAGGAGACGGGCCACTTCAACGTCACCAACACCACCTTTGACTTTGACCTCTTCTCGCTGGACGAGTCGACCGTGCGGAAACTACAGAGCTATCTGGAGGCCACGGCCACGTGACAGGAAGTCCGGGGAGGGGGGCGGGGCTTTCTTCCCCAGAGACTCGGGGAGGAGGAACGGGAGCCCGACGGGGACCACCGACGTGCAAGAGCCGAGAGCAGACCGGGGTGAGAGGAGGCAAGGAGGGGTTTGTTTCGGAAAGGGAAAAGGTGCTGGAGGTGGAGGGCCGAGGAGGAGCGGCGCGGCGGACTGGAAGCACCTTTCGCGAGGCGCCCTTGGACTGGAGGATCCCGGGCGCGCACCGGGCTGTCTGACGAAAGTATATTATATATATGTGAACGAGCAGAGCCTGTGTGCTGAGGAGCGCCCCCCTGAGGACAGGAGCAGGACAGCAGGACCCCCCCCCCTTCGCCTTCTCTTCGGCACCTTCATCCTCTGCAGTGTGTGGCCCCACAATGGGGGATACAGTCAGCAGGGGGGCGTTCCTCTCGGGACAGGGCGACGCCTCCCCCTGCAGGCCAGACCGGCGATTGCACCAGCGCGTCCTGGGCGGAGAGAGAGAGAGAGCAGCCCGGGGGTGAGGAGCCCGTCCCGGCGGGCTGTGGTCTCCCGGAATGAGGGGGGGCAGAGACTGGGTGGGCGTCCCGTCGGAGACGCGGTGTTAGACGCCCCTGACCGCCGGTCCGGCCGGAGCTGGTTGTCACGGATACTCTCCCCCAGCATGCACCCCTCCCCCCGTCATTAGCACTTCCTCTGTTCCAGGGGGGCAGAGCGTCGGAGAGCCTGTTTTTCATTTCCTTTCAGCTGAGGAGAAGCCCTGGCAGCCTGGAACACTACCTGCCTGGGCCCTTCTTTTCTTCTTTATGGACTCCTAGTGTTCGGAGGTTTGTACAGCGTAGACTTTAGAATGCCGGGCTGCTGTTATTTATTTCACTTTTAAAAAACACCAATGTTCCTGTAGTGCCTTTATGAATTTTTGCCATATATATTTTTTTTTAAAAAAGGCTGTTGACACATTAGTGTCACCTTAGCAGAGGAGAGCTCTTGGGTTATTTAAGTGTTACCCCTCGGCCGATGCTCTTGTTGTTGTTGAAATGAGCCATTTCCCCACTGCGGTTAAGAACAGCTTTCCTTCTCGTTGGGGTTTCTGAGGCTTGTGCATTATAAGATCATGTTGTCATGTTGAACTGTTTAATGGAGCATATTGTACCCACAAAAACTTTCTGCTGTTTTTAGAGCACGATCACTTCAAGGTCCCTTCCTAAACAGTATTCGTGATTAAAGAAACCTGCTTGTAATCCACGTGGGACTCCAGTCTGGAATCAGGCCTGATTCCAGAGTGAATCATTCCTGATTGATGGGTCTCATCAAATAAGGGTTTTTTAAGGAATCTTTAAGGAAGTCGGGCTGGAAATTTTGTTTGAGCCGAGAAAATACTCTTTGCCTAGAAGTGCTTCCTCCGGTTTTCAGTCGGGTGTTATTTTTAAGCTTTTTGAACGTTCAAATACAATGGTTCCACTATGTGGGGGCATCCGTAGCTGTTATCCTCGCTGTGCTGTGTCTCCATCGTTAACACCATGAAGGGTCTGTGTCAGCGACCCAAAACAGTCACCTGCACTCTTTCCAGGAAGTATTATTTAAAAGGATTAATTTATATTGTAATATACATGTTACTGTTCTTTTGTGTGTTTATGTATCCTGCAATGAGTTTTGCATTGAACGACTCTGTTTCAAGTAATGACCCTTCCCAGGCTAACTGCTGGAGCTCCTTAGCTTGTGAATGTGTGTGTGGGAACGCAAAGAGAGCAGCTGACATTGGGGTGGGAAGCATTTCAGCGTTGCACCGGTTATTGTTTTTGCAGGTTAACAGAAAGCATGCTCTGCTGTGCATTCCCTTCCCCAGTAACCTCCCACCCATAAACTCCAAAGTCTTGTTTTGAGCCTTTATTGCTACTGGTTTGTCGGTGCAGCTGATGCAAGTGGAAAATCACTGAGCAGCAGGGAATCATTCTGAGAAGACTTGTGTGTCGAGAACAAAAGCAGAACAAAACTGGAATATGCCTTATATAATACCGCAAGAAATCTCTCAAGGCTCAGAACATTAACACAGACAGCAAACTAAACCTAGTGTGCTCCCACCTGTGTCGCCCTGTTGCTTTAAGGGCAGACGTGAGCACAGGTGCCACCTGTTGGCCCCTTGAGGTCACAACCCCCACGGCTGCTGAACTTTTACACCTTGGAGAGAAATCAACACATCCCTTCTGAAGTCTCTGCTTCCTTTTCCAGGCAGATGTTTTCTTGTGTTTGTTCTTTTGAAGCAATTGAAATGTGGCTGAGCTTACAAGGCCGTGGTGTGTGAAGAGAGCAGGGTGCTGCAGGCGCTGGGCGTGGACTGGCCATGATCTTGGTGCAAACCGACTCAGTGAGAAACTATCTGCTGCAACATAAGTTAAATATCTCCCCTGCACTTCAGCTCCGCAGGACTTCATGCTGGGTGTGGATCTGGATTGTCTGGCCCACTGTTCAGCCTAGTGGCCGGCATGAATCCTTAAATGGCATGCAGACGGCTCTTCCACCTTCCATATTGCAACCCCGTCGTGTGTAAAGTTCAAGTTCACAGCCTAACTGAAAAGCACCAAGGTGTGATCTCCCCGAGATTCCCCTTTCCATTTTATTGGAACTGAGCTAATGCACAGAAAAAAAAACAATGGAGGAGACAGTCTAACCTTGCAAGTCACGTTTTTAATATCCACGCCGTATCTATCTGGCGGTATGTTCATAGCGCCTTCATTTACTAATGCAGCCATCCCTACATCAGGTGCACGACTTTAAACCTTTCCTCTTGACCTTGATTTTGTACTCTCGGGGTGAAGGTCCCGCCTGTGTTCAGGTGTGCAGGTTTGGAACGGACCTGGTTGGCCACTAGTTTCCCACCCCTCTCCACTGATCCTCACGGGTGCGAGCGTCTCTGTGTGTGCTCGTCCTGCCTGTCGGGGACCCGAGCTCCTGCTTGCTGGAGTCGAGCCGGTGTGGAGGAGGAGTGTCGTTGGTGGCCATTGTGGCTCTTCCTATAGAACCGGTCCTGCCTGCGCGTTTCATGGCCTTGGATTGTGAGATTTGTTTTTCCCACCCTTTCCTATTTTTTGGCGTCCCCATCTTGCTTTCCCTGGCAATCCTCTTTGGAATAAAGTGAAGGCCTCAGCTCTCGGGATATCTCATGCTCACCTGCGCACTTGGTGAGCTCTGCGATCTCGGGTTCGAGTCAGGGTGACGTTACAAGCTGGCGGTGTATTGGGATTGACGTATCAGAACGAGTAAACACTAGATTAATTTATTCCAGTGTATCTTCGGTAGAGTCTGATGTAAAAACACAGTGACAGCTCTACAGGCCTTGGAGACTGAGGTTGTTTTGAATCATGTAACTGTTAACAGCTCCTTGTTACTTCATTGTTGGAGAGTTTCATTGCAGCTCCTGTTTGGAAGCCGATATCTTTAGCTTTCCCCGTTGTCAAAGCAGACTAAGGTATTGATGCCAGTTTGATTGGAAATATTCAGTGCCAGTCCAGAGCACTGCCTTGCTACCCCTGAGTCCCACTGTATTTCACTGGGCTGGAAACTTTAAAGGTTTTGAAGCACACTATCTGTATGATGTTGTTTTTAAAAAGCAGTATGTTTCTGGATCTCTGAACCCTTGTCAATGTGTTTGTGTTCCTTGGTGTGGTGTGCAGTATTGCATGCTGGAAGGAAGCTGGTGCCTTTCAGCGAGTCCTTGATCATTTCTCAATGATCATGAAAACACTTGGTCTTCAGCAGATGACAGTGCAGGCCCACTTCTGCCTTTTGGCTGTCTGGTTCTTGAAAGGGGGCTTTTTGCTCATCTGCAGACTAAAGCTTTGGCGTGGTTGATATGCTGAAGTGGCAGCAGAGCTGTTCCCTGACCTGGTCCCACTCCGACACAAGTGGGAAAACTCCAGAGTACCTGCTGATGGGATCAGATATCGAGCTTTTCTAAATGGTTCCCAGCCTCTGCGTGCAGCACTGCCCTCTTCAGGAGTCTCACACCTGATTGGGGCTGCCTGCTGGTGTCTTGGGGATCAGAATCCCCCCCCCCCCAGTAAAGCTCATGCACTGTGAGGCTGTGGGGAAAATAAGAAGCCCTCCTGTCTTGTATTGATACATACTGTACTGACCAGCTGTGTGATCGAGTGCATCTGTGTCTGCTGAGCCACTCGATTTTCTGTGACGGGCTGATTCTCCAGCAGCACTGATCCAAGTATTTGCTTCATCTGACACACAATAGAGGGCGCTATGGTGCAGATCAGACATTGTGCACATGGCAGAAGTCTGCTGCTCCTGAGCGAAGGACAGAGACGTTCTTGAGTCCTCTGACCTGGACATGACTACAGAAAACAGCTGACCGTTTTTTAAATCCGAGCATTTGGGTCCTTTTTAGCCGTTCAGATGGCAAAGATGCCCTTGGGGACTGGAGTGGGCGAAATGTTTGGGTGCCTGGAGTGATGTCACCGGAGGTCAGTGCTTCCTGCTTTCATCTGCAGCCACTCCTCCCACCTGCTCCCGTTTCCCAGATCCATTTCCTGCTTCGATTCTCTGATCTTGCTCCCGCTTAGTGCGTTTAGTAGATCCACTTTTACCACTCGGGCTAAAAAGAGAAAAATAAAATTGTTCCTGAAAGGTCTTCTTGATGCTGACTGAAGAGAGGGTTTAGGACAGCTTGTCCATGATGAGGTTAAGAAAATCATCCTGCGTTTATGCAATATTTCCTTATATACTGTATGTAATCCCTCCCAGTGAAGCCCCTGACTGTGCTAGCCAGTAATCTTTATATTGAAACATTGAGCCCATGCGTATTGCAAGTTCATTCAGTGGGAAAACTGCACCAAATTGCTGTCATGATTATAAGAAAGTAACGTTTAGAAAGCAGTCTAATTGATAGCCTGTTGTTAACTGATCCCAGGCTCTCGTCAGGCTGTTTCTTGAATGGAACCAGGCTACAGGCTTCAGCAACATGGCTGCATACTGGAACACGGCTTGTTCCACACTCCCACCACCCTCAGTGTAAATTAAGTGCCTCCTGGTTTCAGGTTTAATTAAACATCCATGTGGTCTCCACTGGTGTCCTCTGTTTTGCGTTGATTCTGGAGACGTCTGAATTATTCACAACTCCGCGAGGCTTTGAGGAGGTCAACCCTGCCATCAGTTCCACTCGTCAAATTCTCTTTTAAAGACTAGAATGTTGTTTTAGCCTGTCAGCACAGGACCGATAAAGGGCAGAGGTGGAGTGACCATTGAACACATTTGATTTAGTCTGCCTGTCACAGTGGTGATCATGTAGGTATCGCAGTGGAATATGAAATCATCTTACAATACTTATCTGGCTAATCATGTGCGAGAAGCATAGCTTTAATGACACAGCTCTGACCAGGCAGAACCGAATCAGAAGCCTGGAAATGTCCTGGATAAATTTGTTGCAAGTTGTTCTAATAGGGAAAAAGGTTTAGAGAAACAGTTTGGTGAGGCAGCCTAATTTTTGAAAGCTTTTCTCAGAATGTGTCAGAGGGGGAATATGACATGAGTTTTCTGACCTGGGACCGATTATTATTATTATTTTTTTCATCCGTGTTGAAGAATCAGGTACAACGCAGCCTGGACACACCTGCAGTTCTTTTTGAGTCTTTTTCCTACCAGGAGAGCTGCAGCGGGGTGTTTTTTTCTACTTCCAGATTTTATTTTATTTTTTACACAAAGAAACGGCTCCCGCAGCCGGGGGGGCGGTCCAGTGTTTCTCCACAGCGCCGTGTTGATTCCAGTGCGCTCCGAACAGGAATTCCTGAGCCCGGCTCGCCCAGTCGCTCTCACTGTGAGCTCGAGTGACGCCTCTACCGCTCTGCCAGCAGTCTGCGTTCGTTGATATACCTCTGCACTTTGGCTGTGGTGACTCCAGTACTTATTTATCTAAGCTGTATTTTTAAGAATTTTATACGATATTTACATGCAAATAGTATTAATGGATTTTTATTTTTTTGCCTACCTGTTGATTTTTTTTATTGGCATGTTTTTTGTCAAGATATGAAGAAAAAAAATCTGTCTGTTCGGTGTAGGCATAGTATCGTGTTTCAGAGAATCCTCCAGACAAACCTGCTTCTCTCCAGAGTTCTCTGTTCTGTGTTTTTACAGTTTGACACTATGGGACTTTGTGCAGAATCGGGTCTATGTGTTGTGTGAGGAGGAGACGTGTGGTCACGCAGTGCAGTATGTCAAAAAAAAAATTTTGTGAGTCATAAGATTTTTGAGTGTTTTTTACTCAAACTTTTTCACAAAAGGCAGCATTGTAAATGTCCGTACTCTGTGAGGTATGGTTACAAAGCCTGAGGCACAAGCTTGTCCCCGTTTCTCAGTTATTTAATGGGATAATTTATCCTAAACCACTAAGAAACCACCATTGGAAATGAGAATGGGGGAGCTTTTCAGTTAAAGTATATTATATATAAGTGTAAAATAAACAAAAAGTAGAAAATCTACTGTGTGTATTTAAAATGGTTACATAAAATACTTTTTAAACATATAGAGTTCTGATTTTTTTTCTCCAGTTTTTTTTTTTTAAGTCTCCTTTCCTTGGTTGAGCTGGAAGGAATGTGTTGTCCTGTTTACAGGCCTGTCAGTAAGTGTTTATCTGTCTTTGCGGGGGAGGGGGGCGGGAGTGGGGGGGTTTGGTCTTCAATGCCACAGCGCAGTGACTCCTGTGCAGAGCAGCGAGAGCAGCAGTGTTACAGATGGGCGCCGGGGCCCTGGCAGGGGCAACGACTGGCCAAGTGATTTGGATTTTAACTTGGCATACAATGCCACTGTGTGGCCATATCATGCAAAGTTGAGATGAGGACTTTAATTTTTTTAATCATAATATTAATAAAGTCATTGAGTAATGTTGACTGCTTGTGTGGGCTTCTTTCAATCTAAATATGCAGTAAACAGCCAGTTCTTCAATTGAGTAGGGAGTCTCCTGTTTAAGTGTTGTAACCCTGGTACTGTGCTGTATTCTGACACCTTTCCTCCTAAAGGCAGGTCTTGCAGCCAGATAATCCCAGGTCTGAAGGGCCTCTTTGATTCCACCCGATCTCTGAACTACATCCTGAAATTATTGATTGAGCTGGACTAGTTTAACACCTTTTCCCCATAAGAGACTTGTAAATCATGCTGGACTAACTTCCAACTAACTTCAAACTGGGCAGTGCTGTTGGATTGATTCAGCCACTAAATTAAATCTAATTATTTTAATGGAAACAAATAGTAATAAAGGGCTTTGGAAAGTTGTGCACATTGTAGGAGAGTTTATAGAAGCTGGATGATGGCCAGGATTAAGGCGGCAAGAGATTGTGGCGAGATCTGATATACAGTGTTTCCTCAGTGACGGGATTTATCCAGTATCCAGATGGTGGGGATCTTATTCAGTCCACTGCTTGTGGCAGCGCAGTGAAGGACGGGTCTGGGCTGACAGGACTAGGGTTAGGTCAGTCTACAGCCCTGCTCCTGGATGGCTTGGATTACAGCCAACCTTTGAGGGGCTGGATTGAATTATAAACGCAGATTTTCCAGGTCTGTTCCTTGATCATTTAAGGCTTGCAATGAAAGCAGCAGAGCTCGTGGCAGCCTAGCCTTGACTAGTCTGGTCTGCCCTGAGCACAGGAACAAACACGAATGTGCACAGCAGAGGTACAACACTAGTTGCAGGGGATCAGGCTTCTGGGTTTCTTTAATGAAATGTAACTCATTTACTTAACTGGACAAAATGATGCCTTTCCTGGTTATAAGGAGGCTGGAGAGTTAAAGAGATCTGTTAAAAAAAAAGTGCTGGACAGACTAGAGTTTATACCAGGTAAACAAGATATGTAATTGAACGCAGAACTCCTCTGCACCCTCTTTTTTCTGGTTGCTCGTTGTGTTTCATAGTGAAGACAGACAGATGCGTTTTGGTAGAATTGAGGGAGACATTTGGACACATGCACACAGCAGAGAAGAAGAGGAGGCAGAAACAAAAATACATCTCTCCTGTTTATTTCTAAAGGATGCACAGAGAACACAGCTACACACACAGTTCTGCTTATACGTATTTTGCAAGTGCAAAACATTCCTACACATTTTATTCAACAGACCACAGGTAAAAAAAAAAAGCACAAGTTCTTCTCTTTCACATTAAAGCTGCCTTCAAACAGACGTTTTGAGAATCAGGAAGAGCCAGTACAACAGCAGGCCAGCTGTGCATCAATATTTTTCCCTCCTGGAGACAGAATTCCTTTGGCTTTGCTATGATCACAAGGTAAAGGACCAACACTAACCAGCAGCTCAGAGTTAGTCCCTTACATCAACCCTGCACAACATTAGTGCTCCTGCATCACTAGTGTCACTGTCAGAAACTACACAACAAAATGGCTTAGCACTTGAAAACGTTTCATAGTAAATGTTTAAATCTCATGACTCCAAGCTGAAATACACATTCCTTTTTGGCTAGTTTTGATTTCACAGCTGGAAACCAAGGACAGGAAGAAAAAAGATGAGCTGGTAAGGAAAGATGAGTAGAAATGTACAAGTCTCACCTTCATGTCTCAATTCATCATACAGAGCAAATACAAAGCTCTTGAAAGAAAAGAAAGGAAGGACAGGAGGAGTGCCTTTTCTGAATTAGCATGCAATTTGTTTTCTACAGCTGAACAGCCCGAGTTAGTCAGATGTCCCTTCACTGTCTCACAGTGCACCTCTGCAAGCAAGCTGCCCCTTGAAACTTGATAATACAATGTTCTTTTACCCATGTCTACAACAGTCGAAAGTTTTTCAGAATATTACATGCTAAACTTTCGTTTTAACATGCTATTTGTAATATTTCATTTTTGCTGTTTTGGCCCCTTTTCAGTAAACTTAATGAATTTTAGAAAATAATTACAGCACTAGCTCAGCACATCTCACAAGAGCAGTAGGGGTAATAAGACAGACTGAAAATCATAAGTTCTCAAAAGCTCTATGCATAATAGATTTAAAACCTGAACAATCTTTTTAAATCCAAATTGAACGTGTCCCTCTCTGGACATGCTTGCAATGTAGCTACATACACAGAAGACACTTCAATATGGACACTCACTTGAGAGCTTCCGACAAAAATCTTTCAAATCATCTGAACTTAAAGAGCAGGAAGTAATTAGTTTTCTTCTTGCAAAAGCCAAGCCACTCCATTCCAACCCCTGTTCTGCGATAGCTAGCTCCCAGTTCACTCAGTAGCGAGTTAACAAGATCAGTTTATGTGTAGGCTACAGTAAAGAAATGCAAAGGAGACTGGAGGGCCTGCAGTCAGGACAGTCCTGGTGTAGACTACATGCCCAGCCTGTCAAATCTGCACATAGACACTTCATCAACCACACCTTCAACAGCTGATTTTCATAAAATGCAAACAGCATCATCTACAACACAATACATTTACCTCCTCCGTGAACACTGGGTTCTTCATACAGGTAGGGCTTAGATTCAGGAGTTCAAGGCCCCATGGGGTCTTTTTATTTCAGCACAGCTGTGGGGCAATCTGCTCTTTCAGTGGGGCGGCCATGACATTCAGAAAAGCCCATACTGCACCTTGTACTTCATATGCACCTCATGCCACAGCAGCACGAGAGCGCGAATCGGCTGAAACCTCAAGCACTCAAAGTAAGGAAAGGTAGGAAAATGACCTGTACAAGACAACTGGCATGAAAACTAAATGCTAACATTTGATAGGTGAGTGCTGTGATCACAGTCATATGGGACAATTAAAAAAAAGAAACATTTTTAAACAGTAGTGAAAGCAAGCAAAATAATTATGGCTTCTCAGGTGGCGCAGTACTTCATTGCATGTGGCCAAGAAGAAAATAACCATCCCTGCTGAGACAGTGCATGGCCACCAACAGGCGAGGCTGCTCTGTGGCTGAAGAGGGACGAAATCTTTGACCGATGGGACTGTTTGGCTTCGAAGTCAAGAATCAACTCTGTATTGCACAACTCCACCTTTGGATAACTAAGACAATAACACCACCTCTGATCTAGTCTGTAAAAAACATGGAAACAAACACTGGAAATAAATTACATGTTTCATCCCAGATTTTCTTGTTTTTCCTTGTATATCCCTATACTACAGCACCTCTCTGAACACGACTTTTCTCCACTACAGTTACACCTTCAGATGAAACACAGCAAATAAAAATTTGTTCCCAATTAATGACCTTAATTAAATTACTGTATAGCAATAATCTCGGCATTTTAATAAATATTTTAAAAATATAATGACAATTTTACAATAGTATTTCATATATGTTTTTACAACAGCCCAGAAAAAAAAAGATGCCAGGAAACAGGTTATTGCAGGAGGAAGCTTATGCTGGGATCTGTACAGGGACTGTGTGTGTCAGTCGGGGGAACCAGCAGGCACAGGGGGCCTATTTTGGGGGCAGGGGATTGTCGGGGGTACTTGGGGTAACAATGTCTTTGTAAAAGTTGTCGATCTGGTCCTTGTACATCTTCATGACCACTGGTCTCTTCAGCTTCATGGTAGGGCCTGCAACAACACACCAAGCAGGGAACAGTTAGCCATCTTAACAAAAACCACCCGACAGACTGTTCTCCTGACATTCACTGCCGGCTGGAACCGAAGGAGGCTCCACCCGGGTGAAAGTCCTCGCCTGCCCCGGGTCAGAGCAGCCCAGATCAATCCTGTCCCGGAGCAGAGGCGAGCTCGGAGACAAGGGGGCAGGAGTGCACCGCAAACATTTCCAAACCGCGTGGAATCCGGGCTGCATCCAGCTCAGGCCGCTTGCAGAGTCCCAACATGTCAAGCAGTGGGACACTGCCAAGACGTGTCCAGTGAGCGTGCTTTACTCACTTCCTGGACGGTTCATTCCAGAATGACGGCACAGTGGGATCTCTCTGTGGAAATGTCTTGCTCAAGCAGGAGCTTTAACTCCTTATAGGGCACATGGGCTTGGCAGGGAATTTCAGCAGGGCTGTGCAATAAGTACTCAATGTGCAGAACCTTTGTTTTCAGCTTGTGCAAGCAGGTACGTTCACTGTGACAAAGAGGACCTTCACCACAGAACAGGAACTAGCAATCAGGTAGCAGGGGGGGGGAGGGTATGATTTTTCTACCCCACACTGTTGACAGTAAATTAAATTGTGGAGCCATAAACACAGGCAGTTTGCACTGAGCAAATCGCAACACTGCACCCTTCTCAAAAACAGCAGGGTTGTTAACCCCCAGGTGGGAAACGGAGGAGTGTTTTCTGTTCAGTGTGTCCTGACCTTGCGCAGGTCTGAGCCTGCATCTCTCAGGAGGGGAAGCAAGTGGAGCTGGGCAGGGCAGTGTGGAGCGGGGCAGGGGGGCAGGGGGGCAGTGTGGAGCAGGGCAGTGGGGCAGTGTGGAGGGACCAGTGGGGCAGGGCAGTGTGGAGCAGACCAGTGGGGCAGTGGGGCAGTGTGGAGCAGGGCAGTGGGGCAGTGTGGAGGGACCAATGGGGCAGTGTGGAGGGACCAGTGGGGCAGGGGGGCAGGGGGGCAGTGTGGAGTGGGGCAGTGAGGAGCAGACCAGTGGGGCAGGGCAGTGAGGAGCAGACCAGTGGGGCAGGGCAGTTTGATGCGGGGCAGTGGGGCCGTGTGGAGTGGGCAGTGGGGCAGTGTGGAGGGACCAGTGGGGCAGGGCAGTTTGATGCGGGGCAGTGGGGCAGTGTGGAGTGGGCCCGTGGGGCAGGGCAGTGTCACTCACCCAGCTCGCCCCCGAGGATGGAGAAGTCCCTCTCCAGCAGAGTCCACTTCTGGATCTTCTGGGCGTTGGAGGTGGCCTGCTCGTTGACGCGGTTGATGCCCTCCTGGATGGCGGTGTACACCGCCCTGTCTTTGCTCCCCGTGATGTCCGACACCTTGGTGGCCGTGCTGCCCAGCTTCTGACAGAAGTCCAGGGCCTCGGGGGTGAGCTCGTCCTCGGGGTCCCCAGTATCGGGGTTCACGTTGCACTGCGAGGGGAGACAGCAGGTGGGGGTCAGAGGTCAGAACATGGCACCAACAGACCACCATTACACAGGGGTGCTCCTGCGCCCCCGGAGAAGCTGCTGCCTTGGTCCTGCAGAGCCCCAGGCTAGCTTTTAAAAACTGTTCACTGGAAATGAAACTGGGGCTGGAAACACCCGGACACAGAAATGACTCAAAGGGATCTTATGCATATTCACTATTTTGCCTGTAATCTCACTAAAATTAACACATTGGCTTCAATAATCGTTCTCAAACCAAGCACGTTAGCAAGTGTCTATTAAGAGGCCATGTCAGGCAGACAGGAAGATCTTTCATTGCAAGTAAGAAAGAGAAAGCGCCTTTTAAATAAGGTGTCTGTGCACCTTGTGAATAAATTCTTATTTGATTCTGTAACTTAAAATAACCAAAATAGCCTACTTTATACCATTCCTTACAGCTAGTAACAGAAGAAAGACATTTAGTTAGGTGCTTGTCCTGACAGCCTAGAGCCCACACTGTATGGACAGATACATGACTGACACCTGTCTATCACGGGGCAGCCTATCAAGCCTGAATTCACAGTGATAGCCAAATATTTAGAGGAAAAAAGCATAGTGGAAAAACTACAGACAAAAATACTACACTTGGCCACAAGAGGGCAGTGTGGACTTTCAGTTTTCATAAAAAACAGTTCAGGAATAAGAACCAATGCTGAAATCAACAACTATGGTAGGTATTTTCTCAAAACGATTTACATATATAGTAATTTCAGTAACACTGTACTGTATGGAAGCCTGTTTCCGCCAGGGAGTAAAAAAAAAAACACGTTATGGTATCTCGTAATTGCGACTTTATATCTCGTAATTGCGACTTTATATCTCGTAATTGCGACTTTATATCTCGTAATTGCGACTTCGAAATAGCCCATATTTCATTGTCTGTCCTTTTGTTATTGTAACGGATTCAGGTTCTAGGGCTTGTGCCCTCACCGATCCCACCCTACATGAACGGTCTTGCCAGCTGAGCTAAAGATCGCACAACCTGTATGTCGGCCGGTCCGTTACACTGTATTCATGAATCGTACAGGATCATAGGATCTATAGGCCTGAAGACTTGTCTTGTACAGTGCCCTGATAAAAATCACATTAATGACACTCATTTTTATAGAATCCCATTTCCGCCAGTGAGGCTTCCCTAGTACCCGGATGGAATAGTGCGCTGTGGGCTTCTTAAAAAAGTTTTTATTTAAACACCAGAAATACAAAATACCCATAGTACTAGGTGGGTATGTGAGAGAAAATCGGTTAAATCGGTCCAGTTAAACTGGTAACCAGCTGGGAATAAGATCCTGAAGACACACCAACCCTGCAGAACCAGGATTAGACACCCCTGTGCCATACCAGGATACTTCTGAATTGTAAACTCTTAATACATCACTGATGGCCTTTCATCAGGACTGGACAAGCACAGCCCTGCTCTGGTGCCAGCAGCAGTGACAGATGCTAGACCGCACACAGCGCCCTCAGACGACATCTGCTTTATTATCCCTGGTCCACTCCCATCAACACAAAGAAATACCCTCATTTCTCCCCACCTAACACCCTCCCCCCCCAGGACTAAAGCAAACATGTAGCACCTTAATCGTGAGGAGCATGGACAGGAACTTCTTCTTGTCCCCGATGAGCATGGCGTTGCTGATGATGGGCACGGTCTCCTTGACAGCATCCTCGATGGGCACGGGGGGGATGTTCTCTCCTCCCGCTGTGATGATGAGCTCTGAAACACCAACATGGCCATGAAGCCCAGCCAGGCCTCAGGCCTCAGCTCTCCCTCCCTCCCTCGGAGATGAGCAGAGCCTCTACAGCAACCCCACCCAATCCGTTAACTCCCGGCTGTGGCGAGGGTACTCCCTCTTTCAAAATAATACAAAAACATCGCCACACTTAATGTTATTATTAGTTACTGGCTGTTTGTCCCATAAATCTTCAACAACAGACTTTTCAAGGAGTGTGCTACGACAAGTACCTGTTCTCCTCTTTATCTCAAAATCAGTTATATTTTTGTCATGTGTGTCTAATTTGGATGGATATCCGTGTGTCAAACACAACTAGCGCAGCGAGGGTCATAAAGGTCAGATAACTTCACTCTTACAGCACGGAAATGCATCACTGTGTTCTACATTATGAAACTGCGCAGATCACCATCTGCATTATCACCTCATAATTGCAAAAGTATTTTTTATGGTACAATAAACTTTTACCATATTGTTGTAACTTTACCAAGTTAGATAAATACCTCATTTGAGTCCAGGAATATGAAAACAGAAACGTGCCAAAAAGATGATAAAGGAACGCAAAAAATGATTAGCAGGGAATTGCTCACCTTGCTGCAGGCTAATACTGATCCTGCTGACTACTATGTACTGACGCTCCCAAACTGAGCCGACAGTAAAAATGCTTTCTTTCCAGCTGGTGATGATCTTAGGGTCCTCTGAAGGCGAGAGCCCCGCCCTGGACAGCCGCTGTCCCAGCCTGCCCCACCATCGTACCTTTGATCCTGCCGGTGATGAAGAGGAAGCCGTTCTGGTCGTGCTTGCCCAGGTCCCCCGAGTGCAGCCAGCCCTCGGAGTCCAGCGACTCCTCCGTCTTGTCCTCCATGCCCAGGTAGCCCATGAAGACGTGCCGCCCCCAGAAGCAGATCTCGCCGTTGCCCTCGCTGTCAGGGTTGGAGATCTTCGTCTCGCAGCCGGGGATCACCTTGCCACAGCTGCGGAGGAGAGACCCACAGGACTGAAGGGGAGGGGGGCATGAACACAGGCTGCAGCGCCACCTGGTGACCGGAGGCCAGATTTGTCAGCTAAACCATAAACCAATCAGGTGTGACTCGGGTCCTCCCAGTCCTCCGTCCTTCCCGAACAGCGAGTTAGAAACGTGGTGCACCAAGCCCACAGCTCCGGTGCTCTTTCGAGACTCATTGGTCACAAGCTGAACAGCTTACACCAAGGGCTCCAGGCAAACAGTGCAGGACTGTCATCAAAAAGCATGCGATCATGCATATGAATTAACAGTGCCTAGATGCAGGCAAACAGTCCTTGGAACTGGCCTATTTTTGGCAGAAGCACAGCACCCCTGCAGTTCACGTCTGTTTAGAGTTTCGGTGCAGAGCAAGTGTCAGCCGCCACTCCGGGCCCAGGAGTGATGTGGGGAATAAGTGACAGCTGGTACTCATTGCCTCTTTGACACATGAAGAAACAGCTGCCTTTGGTCCTCCCTGAGAGGCTCGCTCGGCCCCCGTGTTCCCTCGTACCCGCAGCACGCAGACCACAGACACAGGCGCTGCTCAGTCTGCCCCCTGACTCGCAGCCCCGCCGGGGGAACACTGCCCAGGGCTCCTCACCTCGTGAGCCTGAAGGCGTCGGGCAGGGAGATGGTGTGCGGGCCGGTGCTCTCGCTCATGCCGTACAGCTCGTACACGGGGATGTCCAAGCTGAGGAAGAACTCCAGGGTGTCCTTGGTGATGGGAGCGGCGCCCGTGTAGCACTTGGTACAGCGGTCCAGCCCCAGGGCCTTGCGCACCTTCTTAAACACCAGCTTCTTAGCCAGGCGGTAGTTGAGGGGCGTGGAGGCATGGCTAGCATCAGGGAGGAAGAGGAATCAGTTTAACCTGCCTCACCGCAACCTGGCGAAATAACCCCAGGAGCTGCCGAGTCACACAAGACGAGATGCATCACCCACTAAAACTCCCCCAGTTCCCCTCCGCTGAGTCACAGAGCAGATACAGCACACAGGGGGGCGTTAGCAGTGACTCACTCCGGGCAAAGCCAAAACTCACGCTCACGGCTCAGCACGGAGCTGGAGCTTGCAATTTAAAATCGTGGCCGAGTCCGACTTTGAGCTGACTCAGAATTTGAGCAGCCTATAATTTGTCAAACAGGTTGCAGAGATATTGCTGACTTAACATCCAAAAGGAGCACTGGTCGTTTAGGGAAACGGTGTGGGATGTTCCCCCCAGTCAAGCCATTTAAAAAAACAAGACGCTGTGCTCGACCGGCTGCAGGTACCTGTGGATACCACACACCCACCCACACCCACCCGCTCACCCGTGCATCTTGTTCAGGTTGGTCTGCAGCCCCACGTCCTTGGCCCAGGCTGCCACCTTCCTGCGCACAGCGGAGGACTTGGCCCCCACGGACTTCATCTTCTCCTGCATCTTCTCCCACACCCGCGGGACGCCCATGAACGCCGTGGGCCGCACCTCCCGCAGCGTGTTGGCCAGCGAGCCCTGAGGAGGACAGCCACGCGGCCGAGAGGAGGTGAGTGGGGGGGCTTCGGACCCCAGACTCCCAGCCTCTCAATCGCTTATGGCCCGTCTGGGCACTCTGAAGCCCCCAGAGCCTATGATCTCCGTCAGGGCTCGGCAAGGAGATTTCCAGTGACACAGCTCCCCAAGAGCCAAACAGGAAAGACAGTTCTCTTCTCCATGGCTGGATCGCTCAGTTCCACAAAAGCCTTTGAGGTGGCGAGAGGAAAAGTCCCCTTATACAATGTCTGGCGACAACGTTTGCTGAAACTTTAGATGCTACAGCGTGTATAGTGACAACATGCAGCAGTCTAGGTGGTCGTTCATAGTCAGTTGCGAATACACCGGTTGTAATTAAACTTTATTAAAGGACAAATGCAAATCTGCAGTTTAAAATTGCAGTTTAACGCATAACGATCTTAAAAAAATTAGCTCGGCTGTTTAGTTGTAGGTGGTATTTTAAATCACCTGTTTTAATAGGATCCTAAAAGGCAACAAATTGCCTGTTTGTAGCAGACAGACAACAAGCTTGTGCTTTATGACACTGAGCCGGGATCTTTAAATGGTATCAGCAGTGGTACTGGACTGCAGGACGAACAGAGGGTCTGTTCAGATACCCAGTGCATTTAGAAAATTAATTCAATTGGGCGTTATGTGGCTTTTAAGGCGGTCGACAATGAGCTGCATGACAGATGAGCCACTCCAAAGGGAAACTTCCTGATCTGGCCAGCTGTTTTAAGAGCCTCAGGGAGCACTGGATACAGAAAACTGGGGAAGTTGTATCACATCCTCTCGGTGATGCACACTGAAAAGAAGGATAAGAGAGCTGACGTCTGAGTCTATTTTCAGAGCGTGCCCTGGGAAGCCCGTCTGATATTTTAATTTTTTTTTCAGCTTTATTAGCGAACAGTAAAATGATTTTCATTCACTGCAGGAATTAGGGACGAGCAGTGGCATCTGTTATCCTGTTATCTCACAAAAAAGCTAGAACTGCGCCAGAGCACGTCATTCTCCGATTTCGATTATGCAACATAAAAACGTCAGATTTGAACTACCCCACCTCAAGCGCAAAAGATCTTTTGTGAACGGCAACTGTGAGGTTCTAGGGAATCTGAGCTGTCTATAAATGAGATTCTGAGAAAACAACACAGAAGTAGTACCACTCCTCGTCACAGTGTAGTCAAAAACTAAAACTGCCAGAAGAGAACAAAAGGGAGAGAGAGACTGTGATAACGGGGAGAGGGCAAGTTCATTGCAGATGTGTTCAGTCTTCTTCCAGCTGTGAAATGCAGGCCCCAGCTGGGAACGGCGCTTCCTCACCTTCAGGGCATCAGGCTGGGCGAAGTAGGTGGCCCCCCCGACCCTCATGGTCAGCCAGATGTCGATCATCTGCGCCGCGATGTGGCTGAGCGGCAGGTAGCTGACCACCACCTCCTGGCTCACGCGGGCGTCGGTCAGCCGCACGGTCCTGGCGGTGGCCAAGGCTGTCCAGGTCAGCTGCCGGGGAGAGAGGCCAGGTTACCGGCCAAGCGAAACCCAGACACATGCACAGCTCTCTCAGAGCCGAGCAGAGTAATAACAGGAAAGCACGGTCTACAGCAGCCCTTCTCGTACCTTACACAGCAGGCAATAATGTTAGCAGCCAAAGAGTACACGCTCATGTCAAAGGGAAAAATGCAGTCTTACCACAGTCTGACCAATATCTGGGACAGTGTCCTGGACTTTCACGGCCTCTGTCTGCCACTAGTCTTGGGTTATTGAGTGCTCCTAAGTAGGATACTCTAGTTCTAATCTCACATGGCTCCTATACCAAGTGTATCAAGGACAGACCTATAAAGACAGTCCCTAACTTTTGTAAGTGTTTGGCTCTGGAAAATGTTTCACAAATCCCATTTTTTGAAAGTGTTATTTCACTCTTGCGCCATATGGTGCTCATTATTTTACACTTTAATGGCAGTAGGTTCCCGTCATATCCTACGCACTGCACAGCTGACATTAGCACACTTAGCAATATAATAAATATGTTCTATTCTGCAATAAAAAGTGGAACAAATACATCATCCATAAACCCTGCAGAAATTAAAGTTATTTAAGGGAGGAGTATTTAAAGATGCACTTAGCTGACATACAAAGTTACCAGTGTTGTATATATTTGTATTGTATAATTTGCGGTGGTTATATTTATGTGGGTTGAGTAGCCGGGAGAGCCTGTATCTCATTGGGAGAAACACTCAATCAGAAGAAAAAGAGCGCTCGCTAGCTCGTGCATACTGAGCAGGCAACCCATCGTACTGGTGAACAGTGGAGGCCAGTAACACCAGCACAGCCCCCCGCCAACAGCGCCCGCTGGAGCTGGAGCAGGAGCGGGCAGCGCCTGGGCGCGGGGCCGACTCACATTGTCGTGGCTCAGCATGACTCCCTTGGGCTGGCCTGTGGTCCCCGAGGTGTAGATCAGAGTGCAGCACTGGTTGGCCTTCTGGGAGCTGATGACCTCCTCCAGCTCGGAGTCGGGGACGTCCTTCCCCAGCTCCATGAACTCGGCCCACTGTCGGCGCAAGAGCCACACACAACAGGGGTTAGCGCTCCGGAGACAGAACACTGCCGCACCCCAGTCGTTGACAAACGGGTGCAGACTTCTGCTTCTTGTAAAGTTGTGTGATAAAACAAACTGTGAGGTTCACTTGTCTCCTAAACACAATAAACAATTACATCAGCTCAGACATCAATAAACAATTACATCAGCTCATGAAGAGTCAGAATGAGATCCTGAAGACAAACCAACTCTGCAGGCCCAGGATTAGATACCCCTGTGTCATACCAAGAGTTTACTTCTGAAATGTAAACTCTTTAATACATCGCTGATTATACTGTTGTGAGTGTTTATGAAGAAGTGCCATTATCTGGCTGGGAGACCGTCTTGGGTTCTTGGTTTTGTCTGTCTGACACACTGCAGTCACACGACCTGTGGCACTACCACTTCTAACAGAGTCCATTCGCATTGAATGCACAGCTGGAAAAAAAAGTCTACTACCCCTAGAGGAAATCTCTAAATTTATTTCTGCATTCTAATTTGAGTCAGTTTCATCCCTGAATCCGACGCCCGGGTTATTTATAAATGTTGTTGTGACAATATGGCATGCAGGATTTTGCCAACGTCCTTGTGAACAGTTCTCAGCCCACAGACCTGGAGCATAAATATTGTTCACCACAACCCCAGGCCTGTGCAGGAAATTAAAAGTTAAGACTGTTCTGCACTGTTCATGATTTATAGACCCCAAGCAGCAACGAACCATCGAGGTTTTCACAAAGGTAAGGAAAAACTTACCGTGTATAGGTTTGGTCTCTTCTCTTTCAGTGCATCTTTGTACTGGACTATGGCTTTCAAATGTGGGAGCTTGTCTTGAATCTACAAGAGAGACGAGGGAACATCTATGACGCCACGAGCTAGCTGGGCTGAACAGCCTCCTCGTTTTTAACGGTTCTTAATTCCTCAGCTTAAATTACAGTACCAACAAAAAAATAACCCAGTAACCTGGTAGACAATGAAGGGCTTTCAATTAGTCAGATCAACTGTTAGGAAGTTGTAAAACCGGGGCTTCGGAATAGCCTTAAGTTTCAAAGGCAAGAAAATGTGTATTTGCACATTTTAGATTTGCTTGTTTCTTCAAATTTGGAATGGCATAAAAGAAAGATCATATTAAATAGTGCATGGTGCTGAGGTGTATGTCATACTGTTACACTGAAGCCTTTAAACAGTGTAATTGGAGCTACAGCAGAGTCACTGGCGCTGCCAGCTGAAATAAAGGACAACACAAGCTCTTCCTCCTCCTGTTGGGACACGACTACACTGCGCTGCTGAGCCACAGACAGAAAACGCTCCCCTAGATCCAGGGCGAAACGCCTTGTGCGAGAGCCACTCTCTCTTTTTAACATCGCACATGCGGCATTGATCCCCGATTGGCGCGATACGCCTGCGGACTCGGGACACACCAGGTCGCGGGGCGGGGGATTACCTGCAGGATCTTCTGGAGCTGCTTGTGGTTTTCAACCACCAGGATGTTGGCTTTGCTGTTCTCCACCACGTACTGGCAGGCCTCGGGCGAGTTGGTGGTGTAGATGCCCACAGCAAACCCCCTGCAAAATGACAGGAGAGACACCGGCGGTTACCGCAGGTAGAGAAGGAGCCGGACCGGGGAGCAGGGGGAATCCTCGCACCGCAAGGCCAAACTCCTGAGAGCAGGAGGCTCTCCTCTGCACACCTGGGGATGTGTGGAACAGGAAGCTGACCCATCTCGAATCCAATTTCCCAGAGCAGCTTCAAGAACCTTCTGTGCAAGATTCCTGGGTCAATCAGCAAGCGAACACGCAGCACAGATCAAATCCTCTCTCACTCACGACTTCTCTGGTGCACGTTTGAAGACGTCTCGTCTGCATGCTGCACCAGGCAGTGAGATTCTAGATCAGAACTGCTCCAGTGAGCCTTCCCACACTCACCACTGGGGCTTCCACACTACGGCCGCTGTCCTTGCCTTCGCGTACCTGGACAGTTATTTTAGAGCCTTCGGACACAACAGTGCCAGGGAAACGAAAACGAAATCCCCGCGAGGACGGGGTGATAACTCACCCTGCCAGGATCGCGCCGATGTCGGATATGAACCACTCCGCGGAGTTGAATCCCAGGATGCCCACTCCATGGTAACGCTCCAGCCCCAGCTGCAAAAAAGATGATGCAACTCAGCTCAAGAATAAAGCTCAAGAGTAACAGGAAATACTGGATTTTCCCTAATCCCCAGAAAACCATGCTCAGTGCTCAGTCACAATCAGTCACAAGTGCATCTGCTCAATGGTAAATGTGTGGGGAAAAACACATCGATCTGATCTGACTCTCAGCACAAGGGGGCTGTTTTTCTTCAAGCATTTTCAAAAACGAGGTGTTAAAGGTCACCAAGTCCTTGTGGATTGGCCACTGCAGAGTTAAGCATGCAAAGGAGGCACATTAACTTTTTTTCTACCCTTAATAGATTGGCTCCCCTATTCCTCTTTCTTCTACTCCCCTTCCTTTATTCCCTTTATATTATTGTAGACCTTGCTTATTCCAGCTTATTCTGTTATAGCGTGATTCGCACAGTATGTTATTATGTATTTTGATGACCATGTCCCTTGTGTAGTTTTAGCCTATGTTTTGTGTATTAAAACAGTAAATGCCCAATTCTAGGTCTGGTCACTCTACTGTTCCTAGTGATCAGAACCGGACACACAAAGCTGGGCATTCGATAGCAGCGCAGTGAGGACCTCCTCACAGGTCTTGTTTAGCAGCACAGGTCCCCAGGAAGAAGTTGAAAATAACACAATTAAGACATCACAGGAGCGATTTCAGCCTCCTGCACAGGTCTGGCGCTGCTGGTAACTGCAGCGGATGTGCAAAGCCTGCTGCCCTCCAGACCCAGACCAGTCCGCCCAGAAACCACGCTCTTAAGGCTGGCCTGCAGTGGCAGCTTACCTTCAAAAAGCTCTTGGCTGCCGTTTTGCACTTCTCGTAGTACTCCTTGAACGTCAGCGTGGTCCAGCGGTCTGCTTCCTTCCACCCCAGGGCGGTCTGGTCCCCGTAATTCCTCACCGCGTCGCGGAACATCTGGTCGACGGTGACGGGCGGCTCGGCCGCCGGGCCGGACTCGGCCGTCCGCAGACTCACCAGCCCGTCCCTCTGCGACGTCCACAGCTGCAGCTTGGAGGAGCTCAGGTCCAGGGAGTCGGGGCGCCGGACGTCCCCTGCAGGCGAGAGGCTCTGGGGTCAGGACCCCCGCAGGCAGACGGACGGACGGACGCGCACACGCCAGCAGACGTGCAGCTGGGGTCCCGACGCCCCAGGTTGTGAACACAGGTGTCCTCCACCACAGATTAAGTCAATTTCCAAATGTCCCTGTCCCCGTCTCTCTGGGTATGGCAACAACAACAAAATCGCTTCTAGCCTGAACCTGTATCCGGTTGCTCTTTGCTTCACCGATTCCAGAGAGGAGACGAGGCAAACTTGTACACTGTCGAATCTCGACAAGTGAAACTGCACAATGCACATTACACACTGTAGCCAAAGGTTTTTAAATTTACTTTCAGCGCACACTCACAATGCCACTGTAGTAAGGACGTGGATGCTACTGTACGTCCAATTATTTTTATTCAGTCATTCTGCAACTATCTGCTATTAATAATTAATGTTCAACTTTGAATCATCTTTTTTTCTGCAATGTTACTGAAACACAAACGTATGCGTCTTTCTTTAATTCAGGGATTCAAACATAAGCAAGAAGAACTATTTCAACTCCATTACCTTTATAAATAAACCTTTTCCTGATGAAAATTATATTTAAACCGTTTCCTTATCGCACAAGATCTGTGTTGCGGTGACCACTGGGATATCTGTGGGGGGCACGAAGACAGTATGACATCCAGGACCGACGTAGTAAAGCCTGATCCGGGTGTGAGAGCACACAGTCCCAGATCCCGCTCACAGGGCTCTCGGGACACATCCTGGAGGCCGGAAAGGCTTCCCACATCAGCTCCCGGAGCTGAATGGCTCTTTGTTCCGGTCGGGAGAGCCGAGCTGGCAAGACGGGCGGACTGGCAGCTCAGAGTGAACTGCCAGCCCCAGCGCCCGCGGAGTCGACGCACCACACGGCGGAGCTCCGACAAGGGCCTTTTCATTGCCCCCCGTCCGCGTCAGTGATGCGAGAGGCCAGGGGGACGGCGCGACCACACTCTCACCACGAGCCGCGCGGCGGGGCCCCCGCGGGTCACAGCCTGGCGGGGCGCC